AAAACGAAACAAAAAGTGAGATAACGGTCAAACTTAACAACTGATCTGATTTACGCACGAAAACACAATAGTAGAACTACTTTGAATAATAAGCAAGTCCTCATCATAGCTGACTGGCCTTCTGTTTAAGAAAAGTGTGCTGAGTTCATCCGCATAAACGACCTGTTCTGTTATGAATAAAAACTGCTACGTGTCCTCTACCTTCCAAAAAAAATTCAGCTCATTTGGTTGAAGATTCATGAAAATATTCAAATTTTTTTCTCCAACTCTAGTGAATTACTGGACACCCTATATATTTAATAAAGACTATCAAATTACATTTATTTGACGAATAACAGATTAGTTCTAACCATTTTTCTTTCATTTATTACTAGGTAATGGTTACACCAGAACTTCTTTCATCGTCAATGAACTTCATTTCATTTCCTTCACATATAACAACAAGCAGAGATAACCAAGAGAATATATCAACGTGGTGTATATCTGAAGAAATAAAGGAATATAATTTGGACAATGTCGAATTTGAACGTGATGAATTGTTTGATGATCCATGTTATAACAATGAAAAAATGCCTGAAGGCAATCAATTCAAGGAAGGTTAGTTCACATTTGGCTTAATCTTCGAGGAAACAGAATTATTTCGTTCAAGAAAAAATATAGCTCATTCGTGTTATGTCATTCTAACACAGACAATAGTTTCTGGCATCTCCACAGCTTTACGAGAAACTTCTCCAGCTGATAAGGTATAAGGAACAGAATTTTAAGGCAAAGTTTTTCGAGCATCTCACATTTCACAATTTTAATTTGATTTAAGATGAGTTTATTTCTGGATCAAAGTTAAAAGTAAGTGGTGATTATTTATTCGAATGTATGATTGTCGGATTGATCTAGGAAGTCTCATAAGCAAAACTATTGATTGATTTTTTCACTATCTATTGGAACAAATCAGTTAACTAATGCTCATTTCAAAAAAGAAAAAAAAGGCGGGTGAGTATTTTTTTTAATAACTTTTGATAGGAACAAGATAGAGAGTTGCGTTTTTCACCGTTAGAAAAAGACTGATTCAATGCATCAATTCATATAAAAATGTTGAGATTTATTTCATATTAAAATAGTGAAATATGGTCATCTTGGAAAAGTAGACTGTTGCTCTATGAAGATAGAACAAATGTTAAACTTTGACAAATGGATTAGAATCGCCAGCTAACGGACTACAAAACTATATATAAGTTTTGATTTAAATCTTTACTGTTTTGGGAGTTCTCGATATTATATTCAACAATTTTAGTCCACTTTGTCAGTAATTTCTATAAAAACTACTCAGTTTTTTTAATTTATTCCTGGAAAAATCAAACCTATTTTTAAGGCATTTCTTTCTTCAACTACTGCAAAAGGATCCAAAAACCCAAGTTAAAAGTCATTATCTTATATAGTTTGATGCATTTTCATCTACTCTTTCTAACGGTGAATACCACAGCTTTCTACCATGTTCGTATCAAAAGTTATTCAACAAAATATCTAGCCGGCTTTTTTTGTTTGAAATAGGTCATTAGTGACTTTATTTCTGCCTTGTTGGTTATGCTTCAACAAATTTTAAAATTTAATTTGATCTGATTTTCTTATCATTATGAATTAAATACGATTAATTCGATCCTCGCGCTTGACGAAAAGTTCTAAAAGTAAAAACTTTTGACTTGATTGCCGTTGGCCTATCGAATTATTAAATCAAAGTTACAGTTGAGGTTCTATGAATTCCTTTAAGAGCTACTATCTAGATCTTCCAATAAATTCTATCGGTGAATGAGCAACACATTCCTGTTATAAATATTATTTCTACGTGTCAGTCTTAGGTTAGAATGGAATGAAGAAATATTTGATAGAAAACTCTTTTTAAAGACTTTTCAAATAACAACTCGAGAAGATATGTTTGAGTATTCAAAGTTTTTCAATGATTCTCAAGAAGATCTTAACTGAGAATTATGTGTGATACCTATCAGATTTGCTTGGATACAAATAAATCATTATCGTAGTTTTATGTGTTGACATTTAAATTATGGTTCACAAGAACCTGTTCCAATAATTTTTGTCTGATAAGTCAACTCTGTGTCCCGATATTTAGTTTCAAACAACATTTATAAAATTAGAACATCATTTTAGTAAATATAGAGATTGGTAATTTCTTCATAATCATCTACCATTGTACTAATCTTACCAAAGTAATTAGAAAAAAACAAGCCTATCTACGGATTACATTTTTTCATCGGAAAACGGTTTATAATTTAATGAGATGTACAAGAACATATAATAGTAAAGATACAATAAGACAAATTTTAAGTTTATGATTGATTTTACTTCAGATTGATGTTAATCATGAATAATTCAAACATATTATTATGTTCATCTTCAGCAAATTAATCATAAACTTGAAATTTATTTTTATATCTCTATAATTATATGTTGTTGCATATGTCATTATAGTATAAACTTAGATTGAAGAATTCAATAATATATTTCATAGAATGAAAAACGTTTTGATGTTTACATGTAAAATCATTGTAGTTTTTGATTATGATAATTATATTTCTTTCCCTCATTAGATATTCAATATGAAGATCCGGTCGTACATTGTCAGAATTCTCAAGATCAATTTGAACAAATTCTTCGTCAATTTCATAAAATAAATCACAAATTAGATGATATCTATGAATATCTATCATCTGATCGTATAATAAACATCATTCAACGTAAGTTCTTCATAGAACTTCCGGAACCATTATCCAGCCGAACATTCTCAGCATTCACTTCCAACGAGATGCATAATCTCTTTGCTATATTTGTTTTACAATTTGAGCATGATTATAAAAGACTGGTCAGAAACATTTCCAAAATCAATTCGACCCTGTTTTCGACCAGAATCCATTCAAATTGATCTTTTTGGTTTTGCACATCTTCGCACGAATCCTTCTATTCCTTCTATTACATCACCAAATATTGATCCAATAGATTCATGGGTCTAGGACAACTGATCATGGGATAACTTATCATGGACAACTGATCATGATCATCTGATCATGGAAAAACTGATCATGCCGACAACTGATCATAAGGGATAACTGATCTTGAACAGTTGATCATAAAAAATCGTTCGATAATTGATAATTGTCATTTATTTCCAAACAGAAAAGAACAGAGAAAGGGTGTGAGTGGGTACTGGTGTGGGTGGGTGTGTGATGGGTGTGTGGTGGGTGCGAGTGTGGGGTGTGCGTGTGGGTGGGTGTGAGTGTGGGTGTGTGGTGGGTGCGAGTGTGGGGTGTGGGTGTGGGTAGGTGTGAGTGTGGGTGTGTGGTGGGTGCGGGTGTGGGTGTGGGTGGATGTGAGGTGTGGGTGTGGGTTTTAAAAATAAGAAATAAATTCACACCCACACCCACACCTACACCTACACCCACACCCACCC